AGAACCATAAACCATTATATCTCCAATTTCTTGGTCCTCCGCTTCATCTACCTCGTCACGCCCTTGATTTCGCCGTTCTGATCTTATCCAATCTCTGAAGCACACTAGAATTTCCAAAGCGTTGCTACAGAAGAAAGAATATTTGCATCTACAACAGAAGAAGCATCAACAATGTTAGCATAATAATGATATAATATTTCTAAATGTTTGTGTAGATCAGAAATACAAAAGTCAATATCAGGAGTTTCAGTTGGTCCAATATCCATATAAGAATATAAAGCAGTGATTAATTAGCGACAAGTGACCATTTTGATAGAAGGGTTTAAAATAGCACCAATTAGGTAAATAGGGGGAATTGGGTAGAAATATTTTTTAAACTTATCTAGCATAGATTCAACAACAGAAGTATATCCTTCTTTCTTCTTCAAATTATGTAGTAAAAGAGAAATTTCAGCAATATGAACTAAACCATTTGCAATAGTAGGGTAATTTACAATATTTGAATTTGACCGTTGGCAACGGTAAAAAAAAAGTTAAAAAACGGGCTGAACCGGGCTGTAGCCCATTAAAAACCCGTTAACGGGCTTAGCGGGTTCCGGTGCACCGATATCAAAAAACTGTTCGTTTGAAACCCGCTCCCCGCCCAGCCCGCCCCTCATGCTACAGTACCGGGCTGAACCGGGTTGTAAACGGGTCAGCCCGGCCCGATTAACATGTATAGTTTACCCTAAAAAACGGATAACAATTAAACTTGTAAGTGATTTTAAAGATTTGCGGATTAATTTGATACAAAACGATAAATTGAGTTAGATTGAACAAATAAAGATATAGTAAATTCAAACCACGTGGGGGGGATGATTCTAACCTTAGTGAAATATTCACCCTCGATCCGGGCTCACAATGACCAGTACAGATGAACAAGAAAAAAGAGCTTTTAATGATAGTGAAAATAGTAGTATATTGCTTTGGAATACTTGTTACAATATGTTTAATGAATAGTCAGACCCCCTTTTATATAGTAGAAAAACCCTACTCTAGGTACAATTCTGTAAAAGGTAAAAAATCTTTTGTTTAACTGATTGGCTGTTCTCCATTGATACGTGTCGAGATCCATGCCGTGATACCTGGCCGGTCGCGGATATTACGGCCTTCTGTTGGTCGTGCTTGGTTGCCTAATAATGCTCTCCGAAGTCTTTTAGGATGTGGACCGATCCCGGATTATAACCCCGATATTCTCGAGGGCATGCATCATTCCCCCGGACTCTAACTCGGTGAGACCCTTGCCTTGATTTCGGTGCCTCATCATCATATCTCGAGCTTTGTTTACCCTATCTGAAGCTGGGGTGAGCCATGAGCCCGATTTTAGCTGTATACAGATAGTCCCCTCGTTTCTCGGAGAGTAAGTTTGACGAGAAACGACATGAGCTCTCCGATTCCTTCCTCAATACGTCGTGACAAAAGCGACAAAAAACCCGAAATGTCTCGTCAGTCATGTCATTATGACTTCAAATACGTGTCAGCCGTCGGTTGGCTGTTGCTGGACGCGAAGAGTCGCGAGGCCCCTATAAATATCCTCTCATTTGTTCATTTTTTACCTTACGTCCAAACCTCTACCCTTGTGCTTTAGAAATTCAGTACACTCTTTTATACTCTAGCATTTTTACCTCCGTTACTCAAGATTTCTTAGTACGTTGCAAGATTTTTACCCATTTTCTATTCAAGCCAACATATCTGAGCTTTCAACCTTCAACCTTTCCCTTACCTTTTTCAAGCATTTCCACGTAACAATAGCCAAAACCTCCAAATCAGCTCCCCAAAAAGATGCTCCTTCTTCTTCGCGGCCGACCATTGAGGCCAAGGAGACCGCCCCTGATGTGGTCGTCCTCGAGAAGTCCGCTTCGGGTGCGGCCGCTGATGAATCGGCACCCGAGCCCCTCTTGAGAATGTTCGTCCTCGAGGGATGTTCGGTCAATGATGACTTCAAGGTTGAAAAACCTTCTTCTGTTCAAGGCCGGTGAGAGGCGGTGTCTCAGTACGTGTGCTCCATCACTGAGGCCATTCTCCCTATGGTTCGAAAGGACTGTGGATGGATGGATAAGGACGTAGTGATTCCCAGGCCCGATGACGATATCACTACACATGTTAAGGGATATCTAAGTGTTTACACTTATCCTTTTACATTGGGCCCGGTAGACACGGTCATGTTGGACTTTAGCAGGAGGTACGTCGTGTGCCTCGGCCAAATTCACCCATCACTGTGGAGGATCGTAATCCTCCTCTGATTCTATGTGAATAAAATCGATTAGTGTATATTCACCATCGATCATCTGCTCCGCTTATACAGTCCCCGAATCTTCTGGGGGGGACTGATAAAGTTTGTACGTCGGGCCAGCAAAGCCCCATTCTCAAGAATCGACGAGGACCGAGATTGGGGTTAGAAAGGACGCTTTGTCCGGGTAAAGACTGCCGACCTGATACCCGCCGAGTAGAGGCCGTTTCCCGAGAAGTGGAATGTATCACATAAGTACACCTCCTTCCAAACGTTGATTTTACGTTTTAGCTTCCCTTTTTTCACCGGTATTTGTTGTGGTGTAGCCCTTGCTCGAGTTCCAAATGCCATCCCTCGGCTCAAGGAGTGGATTAATGGAATTTGTTCGCAGATGCCTTATGCCGAACGCTCATGGCGCGAACTCTCAAAGGGCCACTAGGAAGCCCGTTCTCATGGTAAGATCTTTCTCTCTGAATAAGCAGTTCTAGACGTTCCTTTTCATCACTTATGTCCTCAATAACTCTACTCTTTTTGCAGGCTTGCCCAAGACCATCGAGCTCAGGCCCTTGGTAGGGGGCGAGGATCATCCTGCTGATCCCTCTACTTCGGGGCAGCCCAGAGCCACAACAGGGGAGATGAAAAAGAGGAGGGCCCCGAGTTCCCTGAGCTCGGAGAAAAAGAAACCGAGAAGGAGGATGGTTCGTAAGCCAAAGGAAACCTCCAGCTCCCAAGTGCT